CCGAAAATTCTAATACGTGCCACAGAGAAAATATGAAAAACAATCACCCGGAATCTCGAAAAATCTCCTAAGGAAGGTAGTTCAATTCCTATAGATTTAACATGAATATAAATGTGTAACTGCATAAAACATTCGAACTTCGAAAAAATCCTCCCTGAAGAGATTAATTGTTTCTAAACTCTCTTAACTCTTTCTAAAGACCGAAGAACGATTGTCTTTTACCGTCTTAGCAAGCCGATAGCTCCACGACAAAGAGAAGAAAAAACATACGCCAATGGCGATTAATGACGATTTACATAAGCACAACGAGAAGGTGCACGATGGTATGTGGCACAAATGGAGAACTAACTTATGCAACTCCCGCGAATTTCATAGATTCGCAAAGGGGATCCTCTATCTCTGATCCCGTGATCGTTTTATTTTTATCGCGCGTCGAGATTTGTTTCTCGAATCTGGCACGAGATACGGCGTTCTCTTGATACTAAACGTTTAAGAGATCTGTTTGATCAGTAACGGCTGATTTGCGATAGACATAGGGTAAACTTTGGAATTCAGGTTATTCGTATGCTTTGTTGAAGAGGATTTCACTTCTGTTGGAACTTGGATCGGAACGAACTTGGGGGAATCACCATTTAGAGATTGTTCCGATGCAAACTTTTCGGATAAATAGCGTCTCTTTTTCTTAACGACGAGTCTTGAATTCTTGACAATTTTTGGGAAATTCCTATTTCTCATTTTTCTAGAGAAGCGTGGTCTTATGCAAATAAATAAAAGAAGTAAAAAGAATTAAAGATACACAGTGTGCAACGAGTGTTGGCAACTCTACTGAGTCCAGTTGAAAGTCTGAAATGTTCGAAATGAGGAATTCCAATCGTTGAAAAAATGAAAATAATTGCTCGATATAGTACGACAATTTTGAACTTTCGGCAGAAATTATTCTCGCACCTGACAACGTACATATTCTCGAAATCGTAAATCCCGACGAAAATGAATTACGTCTCTGGTTAATTAAATGCAAGCCAGTGTGCGAACGTTTGTCAATTAAGATTACGCGTGGAAAAATCGCCTCTAATCTCCGGCTCGTGAGATTGGAACGCTGTTGGTTGAACTTTCGACTTTATCACTGGCTCATCCCCGTTTACTGTTAATTAATTAGCGGAATTGCCAGGAACCCGTAATCAGTGCGTGAAACGTGTCTGCAAGATGTTTCGCCGCAACAAGACGCGCCCCATTATCGTTCGTGTGCTTGTGCATTAGGCGAGAATGCTACTGTTCTAAGAACCAAACGATTGGTCGTTGTTTTAGACCAAAAATAAAAATTAGAAAAATTTTTGGTTTTGTGTGGATACTCGGGAATGTTCAGTGAAGTTGGTAGATTTTAATTTGGGGTTATTGAATGGGAGTTTGTGAGTTAGAAAGCGACACTTTTTCTTCAATGATCAATTATTTCTTTCAAACTTCTTCAAACCTTGAGTAGAAAGAATTATCAAATACAAATTCGTGTACCAATTTTATTGACAATTCAACTCAACTTAGTTATTAGTTGATCAATTATCTGTTCCAACTTACTGCTCCTTCTACATTCCTCATATCTCAACATTCTCAAATTCTGAATACAAACTGGTCTTCAAACACAACTCTACATGCTAATTTTATTAGCAATTAATGCCAAACCAACTCAATCCAACCATCATTTCTTCTTGAATGATCAGTGATGACTTTTTAACATTTTAATATACTCAACAACTACTTCCTCAAACCTCAAACACAAACATTCTCAAACGCAATTGTTTATATTAATTTTATTAATAAATAATCCCAATCTAACCATCAGCTTTTCTCTAATGTTCAGTTCCAAGTTACTACTACTTCCTTATAATATACACCTCAACTTCCTCGAACTCTATCCACAAACAATCCTCAAACACAGTTCTTCAGACCAGTATTACCAAGAATTAGTTCTAACCCAAACCCATTCTCCATCCAGAAACCCTAAATCTCAAACAAATCTCAAACACAGTTCTTCAGACCACTATTACCAACAATAAGTCCCAACCCAAATCCATCAACTTAATGCTCCATCCAAAAACCCTGAACCTCAAACAACCCTCAAACACAACTCCTCAGATCACTATTATCAATAATCAATCCTAACCCAAACCCATCAACAATCACCATCAATCCACTTAGTGGTCCATTTAAAAATCCTAAACCTTAAACAATACATCAGACCACTATTACCAAGAATGAGTCTCAACCTAAACCCATCAACTTAATAGTCCATCTAAGAACCCTGAACCTCAAACAACCCTCAAACACAACTCTTTAGACCACTATTATCAACAATCAGTTTTAATCCATCAACTTAATGCTCTATCCAAAAACCCTGAACCTCAACCAATCCTCAAACACAACTCATCAGACCACTATTACCAAAAACGAGTCCCAACCCAAACCCATCAACAATCACCATCAATCCACTTAGTGGTCCATTTAAAAACCCTAAACCTCAAACAATACATCAGACCACTATCACCATGAATGAGTCTCAACCTAAACCCATCAACTTAATAGTCCATCCAAAAACCCTGAACTTCAACCAATCCTCAAACACAACTCATCACAGCTCGAACACAGCTCGTTAGACCCCTATTACCAACAGTCAAACCCAACCCAAACCCATTCTCCATGAATCAACTTAATGCTCCCGTCGAAAAATCCGCCCAACAATTGTTCACTCCTAACCAAGCGATTGTTACATAACGCGCTACTTGCTCGTCGAGGTGGAGCCGAGCGCAGAGGGGACGATACCTGCATGACGAGGCCTTGCGGCTCACCGCACACCAGCTGTGTCCACATCCAAGACACTCTTGTTACGCCTACGTGTGTTGTCACAGCGTTGTGCATCCGTGCACCACGTCGACCAAGAAGCGCGGAAAACTCGTCTTGAGGCTGGTTAACGCGCGAGCAAACGCGTTCTCAAACGTTGGTGGAGGGGTACCATCATGCTCCTCCCTTTCTCTCCCTCTTTTTCCTGTATTTTTACCTGAGCTTTTAGTGCGGTTCCGTGCATCGTTCGTCTCACAGTTATCGCGACTGAATCTCGCGATTACAGTCTTTGTCACAGTGATTCTACTTTTTTTCTTCTTTCTTCCTTCTTTGCACACTTTCCCTTTCGACAGTTCTTCTCCTCCTTTCGCGACCTACGAGTGCGTGAGACGATGATGGACGATCTAGGCGGCCGATCGAATTCTCGTAAGGTTTCCATCGGTGGACGAAGCTTCCGTTTCTTCATCGACGATTCGCGTGCTCACTGTGTCACCCCTGACACGCAGGTTCGATGACATTTTTTTGATCACGCGTCGCGTACACGTGACAGGAGATTCTCCAGGAGGAAATCGAACGAGCCTAAGATGTGTTTTATTTTGATCGTATTTGGACTACAGTTCGCTGTGCTCGCCTGTTGCGAAATCTTCTGGGTGTTTTGCGCCTGGGAGCTTTATTGGGGCTAGGCTTAAGGATTGTTTGCTCGATACAGAAGGTTTGGTGGTATTTTATTTTAGTTACTTATGCTTTTCGAATATTTCGGTAATTTAGGGGAATTTACGAGGAAGATTTTGATCGAAGATTTATTTGATTAATTTGTTAGAAGTAATATTTATGATTTTCTTCGAATATTGAAAATCGATGGATTTTAAAGATGGAATATTAATCTTAGCGTTGAAGATCGACTCGTTTATACTCTCTTCACACATCGACTGTTGGGGAGAAAAGAGGTCGAGACTTCTCCAATCAGTTTTTCATTCAGACAAACAGGATACAGGATCTTTTCTGTCGTATATACTTGAAAGTTTCCATTGCTTCTCCGTTCTTTCAATCGAATTTCCCATTCACAGAAATTCTTTAGAACGAAACTTTAGCGATTGTAAAAAAGAATTCTAAAGAAATGTAAATTATATCTTCGACGAAAAATCAATTTTAATTGCATCTTCAGTTCATTGTAAGTCTCAGAGCCTACTGTGTACATAGTTTACCATGAGCTACTTCTCTGGAACAGAAGTATCTTTGTTGAAACACAAATTAAGTCTCTGAGTCTACTATATCCCCAACCATAAATCTCAGAGCCTACTGTGTACATAGTTTACCATGAACCACTTCTCTGGAGCAAAATTACCTTCGTAGAAACGCAGATTAAGTCTCTGAGTCTATTATCCTCAATTCACCCTAAATCTCAGAGCTTACCATCTTCAATTTACCCTAAATCTCTGAGCCTGCTGTCCTCAATTTACCCTAAATCTCAGAGCCTACTGTACTCATAGTTTACCATAAACCACGTCTCTGAAGCAGAAGTACCTTCATAGAAACGCAAATTAAGTCTCTGAGTCTATTGTCCTCAATTTACCCTAAATCTCAAAGCTTACTATCTTCAATTTACCCTAAATCTCAGAGCCTGCTATACTCATAGTTTACTATAAACCACTTCTCTGGAGTAAAAGTATCATCGTAGAAACACAAATTAAGTCTGAGTCTATTATCCATAGTTGACCCTAAATCTCAGAGCCTGCTATCCTCAGTTTACCCTAAATTTCAGAGGTTACTATACCTACGACATCATATTTTACCATAAACTACTTCTTAAAAAAAAGAATACAATCTAAACCTCAGAATCTAGCAAAAATCAACATCTGTCTATGAAACAATCTTGAACCCCCCCATACTGTGGCTCCTAAAACTGGCCACAGAGATCTATCTCTGAATCTCAAACACAATCGGAACAATCAACCGCGAATCAGACATCTCGTTCACTTTCGTCGAACCGCTCCCAGGCTTCTCCATTTCACCAGGCTAGCTAGCAGAGATCGACAGAGGCCGGGTACCTCGGGACACTCTCTTGGGTCCTCTCCAGAGCACGCAGAAGGCGTGCACACCGGTGACAAAACGCAGAGGAGGAAGGAGAAAGGGGGGGAAACGTGTCGGATTATCCGTGTTGGCAGGCCTGATCGGACCTAGAAAGGCGGCTGTTCTAAGGTTTCCGCGTCGGCCGTAGGAAGCCAGCCCGTGGACTGTGGTTCTCTGAAGCAAAACCTGGCCTGAGAGTGAGACACAAAACAGCTGTGCGGAACACGCTCCCGCTGTTGTGTTCGATCGTTATACGAAAACAAGCGAATCCTCTACTTCCAACCCTCTTTCCACCACCACCACCGCCATCGCCTTTCCTCTCCTCCTCGTTTCACGAGGATGGATCGGAACGAGAGCGCAAACGAGGGCGGAAGCTCGCCGGACACGGTGATCGCGCGCTCCTCGTCCGAGGAGGAGCGGAACAGGTACGCGTGCAGCACTTCCGGCGAATACGTGACAGTGGGAGACAGCAGCTCGAGCTTGGACACGCTCACAGGTGGAACAGTCCCGAACAGCGGAGCTGTGTCCGTCGAGACACAGGCGACCGAGGACAAGAAGAGGGGAAGATTCGGCGCGTTGAAGAGCAGCTTCCGTAAGGAGGGAGGATTATTCAAGATTAGGAGGAAGAACAGGCAGCTGGACGAACCGGCCCCGGAGCACGAGCCGGATGTCGAGGAAAAAGGTTCCACTTTTTCGTTTCTTTCGGTATTCAGGCGGAGGCTACGATTCTGGAGGTTTCACGGGGGGTTTCAGGGGTTCTCTTTCGGTTTGTTCTCTTGAACTGTGGTATTTCTGGGTTTCAGGTTTGATCTGGTTGGTTGTTGTTTGTTAGATTTTCTCTTCGGGGATGGAATGTTGGGTAAAAGCTGGTTTGGAGGGTGGTTCTTTGGGGAGATGTAGATTTGTGTCAGTTTTCTGGGTTGTACGATGTTTGATGATGTTTGAAGATTCGTAACGTAGGTTTCTGTTGGTTTTTATTCAATTTCGGAATGAAGTATTCAGTAAAGATTGGTTTGCTGGGTTATTCTTTGGGGGGATGTAGAGTAATGTGAGTTTTCGGGGTTGTACGATGTTTGATGATGTTTGGAGATTCGTAAGATGGGTTTTTGTTGGGTTTTAACCAATTCGAGGATGGAATGTCGAGTAAAAATTGATTTATTCTTTGATTCTTTGAGGAGATGTAGATTAATGTGGGTTTTCTGGGTTGTACGATGTTTGATGATGTTTGAGGACTCGTAAAATGTATTTCTATCGAGTTTTAACCAATTTGAGGATGAAATGTTGAGTAAAGGTTGATTTTCTGGGTAATTCTTTGAGAAGATGTAGATCAGTATGATCTCCCTAGGTTGTACGATGTTTGACGATGTTTGATGACTCATAAACTCTTTGGCCTTCTTCGTTTTAAGGATAAAATGCTGGGAAAAATTGCTTTCTTGGACGATTCTTCGATAAACTGTTACATTTTTCAATAGCTCATTTCTCTTGTAAAGAAAATTACTGAAATTTGGAGTCTCATAAGACGAGTAGAACAATCCCCAAAGATCTTGCGATGGTTGGTAAGCTTCTTTAAAGTTTCCAGATTTTTCCGCCTAATTAAAAATATTCTTATCCAAGTTCCAAGTTTCTCGTTCTTGATTCTCATTTACTTTGGGGATTCTCATTCACAGGAGGTTTTAGGGCTTCTCTAGGGCTTTGTAGTTAGTTCTACATATGTTCGACTTAATTCTTAATAACCTATTCTACTTTCTCTTTCTCCTCCGTAGAATATTTTCAGGTCTCGTTTGTACGATTTCTCGAACAATCAAAGAGCAACGCCTGCCTCTTCCGTTTTCCAACAAAAACGATTCTACATATTTACCCTCATTTCTTCTAAGCAGCAAGTGTGAGATTATATAGTTCAGGGCTTTCCCATTCGTTCCTCAAGGTAAACGCTCTTTCTTAGGAAGCACTTGTTTCAATCGTTGCGATACTTGACACATAAAGTGATCGATGGGACACTTCTTTCGATCTCTGCACGGATTCCTTGAGATGTTAATCGTCTTAATGGCTGCTCGGTATCCAGGCCGATTACCGAAAGCTAGCGAACTCGTTAATTACCATGGATTTATGCTATCGATTTCGTTCTTTGACAGTTCACAGAAGATCTAAGGACCTAGTGATTTGCTTTCAATACTTCATTCGTCATATTGTATCTGTAACATTCTATCTAGGGACCAGAGACTTTCCTCGAACTCGTAGCTGTTAATTTATCCACATTCAAGGATACGAGAAACGCAAGCCTATTTAAACCGAACTGTAATAGCATCTAGGAAGTAAATCTTCCAAAGCACATTCTCAGAATTTTTAAATTGCATAAATGAACTTATTAAACTAAATTTAATTATCTCACCGAAGAATCAGGTTTTTAAAGTGTCTATTAAGACGCAATTCTTGTAAGATTTAGCTCGGATATTAGTTTAGATGTACGATGTGCAAGCAATCAGTATCTCGACGTGGAACACGATACTCTGTATACAAAGGATTAAATCTACCGTCCTCACCTGTAACTATCGAACTACCCGAACTCCGATAATCCGAAAATTGGTGAAATTGCTTGCACCTAAAATTCAAAACCCGATCATCGGCTTCATCAATCACTCTAAGTGACGTGATCCTCCATGAAACTCCGAGAATTATTTCTCTAACTTAGGATCCTCTGGTTGCTGTGTCAGAAGTGAGATAGATAGAGTAGCTAATCTATTATAATCTGAAATTCAGCTTCAATTGCCACCTATGAATTTATGTTCTATCGCAAAGCGATCCGATTTTCTAGAGAACCTCAAAACTCATCTTTCCTATCTCCTGTATTACAAGTGGAGTCTTGATTAAATTAGTTATTTTTTGAAGCTGAAATCCAATCTCCACGTCTTAGTTCCTAACTCCTCGCAAATTAACGTAATTCCTCACACGAAGTCCAAGAAATTCTCTGTTTGCCATAACGTAAACGAAACTTCAAACTTGAAACTCAATTTACACCTTTTTAATCGTAATCAGTTTCCTAAAGAAATCATCTGTGATCTGAAAATCTCAAACTTGACACTCAATTTCCATCATTTTAACTATAATCAGTTTCCTACGAAAATCATCTCTCTGATTTACGATCTGAAAATCTCAAACTTGAAACTCAATCTCCATTTCTTCGACCATCATCAGTTTCCTAAAACGGTTGCCTCTCTGACCAACGATCTTCTGTTTCCCATAACATAAGTGGAACCTCGAACTTAAAACTCAATCTCCACCATTTTAACTATAATCAATTTCCTACAAAATCATCTCTCTGATCTACGATCCTATTTCTGCCATAACACAAATGAAACCTCAAACTTTAACCATAATCAATTTCCCCCAAAAATCCTCTCTCTCCCATAACATAAACCAAGTCTCAAACTCAAACCTCAATCTCCACCTCCACAGTCCCCTAAAACCCACCTTCCCCCACAATTAATTTCCCAGAAAAATCGTCTCTCTGACCAACGATCCTCTGTCTCCGGTGTCAGAAGCGGGCCGGAAGCGGATCCCCGTGGAGGAGGAGGATCGCAAGGGCATCATCGGCGGCGCCGGTGGCGGTGGCGGTGGTGGCGGCACGTCGACGACCTTGAAGAAGAAGAAGAAGAAGTCGCACTTGTTGGTGCGCAAGCTGAGCCTGAACAAATTTCGTCTGTCGACGGAGCAGGAAACAAGGCACACGCCCGAAGGTGGTGACAGCAGTCGATCTCTGAGCCAATCGTCGCAGGAATCACCGAGCCTGTCGGACAGCCCGTCCAGGATCACGAGGAAGGGGCAGCAAGAGATCGAGAGGCTTGGCCATCGCGTCGGTTACGAGGCTGTCGAGCCTCGCGACGCCCCGCTGCTCGACGTTCCTAGAGAGAAGGGAGAGACAAGGAAACTGGAGAAGTCACTGGAGAAACCGGTGAGCACCGTGACCGTAGTGCAACGCAAGTCGCCGTCGTTGACCATCAGGAGCTTTTCTAAGAATCAGTACGGTGAGCGATCCCTCTCTCTCTCACTCTATTTTTCTCTCTTTCTCTTTCTTGCTTTGTTTCGTCGAGAAGACTTTGTCGAATTGAGAGGACTATGGTTGCTGGTTTTCTTTTTTTTTTTTTTTTTTCATCAAGTGTACTTGGTGCGAGGATTTTTTCTTTGTTCTCGAGCGGGATTATGGTGGATTTTTGAGTAGACTGTAGTCGGTACGAGGCTACTTTTGTGGTTCTTTCTATGGTGGACTGGACAGTGGGGAGATCGGTGTAGGTGTGGTTTTATGGTAGAATTTTTCTGTAATTTTCTTTCTTTTTCACGTGGGATTGTTTTATCGTGTTTTTTTTTTCTGGTCGATTTGACGGAGTGGACAATTTATTGGAAATTATGTAACCGTAGCGCTATACTGTTTCTTGATTATGGATATAATATGATACACAGAGATCACTGTGCCAGTGATTTACAATTGAAACGGCAGGCCTGTGAAATATGATACTGATATTTCTATTATTAACATTGTTCTATATGGTAATAGGTTCTCTGACCCCTAGGTGAGTTTAGACAATTTTTATTATTTAAAGTATTATTACACCTAACTACTTCTGCCTATCCTGTCTGTATTTAATTTCAATTTTTACGTTCGATAATTGTATACTTAATCCCCACCTCAAACTCAAGCACTTAATTTTAATCCTGCATTGTGCAATAAGCTACGACAATCTAATTAACTCGAGCAGTCAATCCCAACTCTGGTCCTCCACAACTAGTTAGAGCAATCTAATTAACTCAAACACCTAATCATGACTTTAGCAGACACGAACAGTGACAATTCGATTAACTCAGAACAGTCGATCTGAGAATTATACAACTATCTGTAACGACTTAATTAACTCAAGCACTCGATCTTAATATTGCGCAAAGCATACCAGTTTAATTCAAACTCAGTCTCAGCTTGAGTGTTGTTGATCGTGCTGTGACAATTTGAGTAAGTCAAACACTCATCCTGAGTAGATAACAACCAAATTAACTCAACCTGAGCATGCAACAATCAAATTAAACGACATACATCAAGTTACAACCACTTAATTAAGTCAACCACTCAACTTGAGTATTATACACCAAGTTATAACACTTTAATTAACTCAATAACTCAACCTGAGTATCAAGCACCAAGTTACAATCGGTCAATTAATTCGGTAACTCAACTTGAGTATTATACACCAAGCTGTAACAATTTCATTAACTCAACAACTCAACCTGAGTATCAAACATCAAGTTACAACCACTTAACTAACTCAATCACTCAACTTTAGTGCCATACATCAAACTACAACAATTTCATAAACTCAGTAACTCAACCTGAGTACCAAACATCAAGTTACACCTACTTAATTAACTCAACCACTCAACTTGAACATAATACAAAAAAGCTATACCAATCTAATTAACTCAGTCTCGACCTCAACATAAAATAACACCACGATCCATACCAATCAAATTAACTCAAGCACTCAACCCCAATACAACGCATCAAATCCCCCCAATCTAATTATCTCAAACACCCTAACCCTCGCACGCCACTTAACCTCGTTTCATACTAACCCCTTGCAAACCTGCCTTCAAAGATGCCATCAGCTGGCCATTGAAACATCACCATCAACGTCTCACCACAATTACTATCTTCATCATCATTATCATCATCATCATCACCACCATTCCAAATTGCCATTGACGAACCTGAGAATCCACATGAACCTGGTGCCGTTGTCTGCGTGTGCAGATCCGGAGTCAGCAGAGAAACCGGAAGCGCGGTGCAGCTCGACGCTTCCGTACGCGATTTCAAAATGGGCGGAGCAGAAAGCCTCGATACCATCTACGAACGAGCCTAGAAAGTCGAAATTGAACACAAAGTCGGAATCTGATTCGGGTATATCGAAATCGTCGCCGCACGAGGTTCGACGGAAATTATCGTTGCTGGAGGAGAAACGAGCGATTTTTCAGCGACGTTTGTTCGAGACTACTCGTGACACAGATTCCAGCCAAACGGTGGTAGCCGTGACGGTGGACGACGAGGATAGAGCGAAAGACGAGGAGAAACACGAGGAGAGCACGAAGAAAAGGGCCAGGCATATCAGCGTGAAGAAGTTCGATACGTTCTCGACGTTCGAGGGCACGTTCGACGAGGAGACTGGAGTTGGTTACCTGGCTGGTATCGAGGAGGATTACACGGAGAGCTACGACAGACAGAACGAGAATTACTCGGCTACCATGGGACCCATGATAGCCGACACCGCGGAGAAGAGCAAGGTCGTCAGCCAGGACAGCATGGTGAGGAACCATTTCTGCACTCACCGTAGAATTCTCTTCCTCTCGCACCTCTTGTATCTTCTTTTTTTAATACTTTGGCCTTTGATTGGTTTATTTCTTCTCCTTGGTGTGGATTTTTATATTTTTTGTTCTTTATTTGAGAAGTTCTTATAACATTTCTGAGCAAGGACCAAAAATAACGAGTAGTGTTTAACCAGAGGAGGTTTTAATTATTTATACTGTCTATTTGTAGCTAACAAAACATATAAATTGAGAAAATAATTGTTATGCTATAAGTTTTCTGTATTAAGATTTGTAACAGTTATGGTATCTGATCTTTGAGGCTTCTTTTTTTATGGGTTTCTGATTGTCATACTTTTTAAGTTTGAATACGGTGTTGGATACTAATTTTTGTTTCTCCTGGTGCTTCATTTTAGGCGAATTTTTCAATTATTTATTACTTCTTAATTTTGTATATTTTATGCAGTCAAATATTCTTCAAATTCAGTTACTCGAAGCGATTGTTTGCTTGTCTGTTCTCGCTACGTTTGATCGGTGGTATCTTTACCACTTGTCGAATATATCTCGAGTTCTACTACTTGTTCTGCCCGGTTTTACGTAGCCTTCTGCTTATTCTACAAAAATATACATTCTACGTGTATAACCAAACTTAATCTCTAATTTACCACTGAATTACCAATTAATCGATGAAATTTCAAATATCACAAATTTGAAAAAATAGATACTTTTGGAATTCTTTCCAACCAGTCAAAGCAACATTAATTAATCGATCTTTTAAATAGAAAGAAACTTTTGTAACTCGATTAATTAACAAAATCAAGCACAACTTAATCTAATTAATGAAACTTTAAATATCATCTAAATAGGAGAAAATGAAAATATTTACACAATTAAAATTCTGACCTAAAATTGAACCAATCGAACACCTCGTATCATTAACGGTTTCGAATCGAAGAAACAGGAACTTAAGTCGGCCAGACAAGAAGAAAATAAGAAAAAGAAAGAAACGTTTCGTTCGATTGACAACTCGGAACTCGACACCGTCTAAAACAGACCATCGACCGAGCTCATTTTTCTCAGCAACACGCTACTCGCGGTACCTTTGCATAATCGGCGGTTTCCCTTTCTCGATATCGACACTCGCGAGAGATTTCGAAACGACACCCACGACACATTTCTCTCTGTCTAGATCGATCGAGGGACAGACACCGCGTGTGTAACTCTATGATGCAGAAATCACTGTGCAGACCCCCGCGTTCTGCGGTCCCGGTTTGCGGTTCCCCGGTTCGCTTCCATCGCTTTTGTTTCGCGTACGCTGTTTTTTTTTCTTGCGCCACCCCTGGCGAGACAGCCTCTCTGGTTACTTGCTCCGGTGGCTTGTCGTCGTGCTCTATCTCGAACCTGGGTGGCACCTATCCAGCGCTACTTTGCCTACCAGAAGCCTAATTGGAGCACGTCCACGTGCCGTCTCGAGAGGTAAACGCGGGGAAAAGTTTGTCAGTGGGAAGTTGGAAGGGTTGTTTGTTCGTCGAGAAGTCTACGAAGGAAACTTGGTTTTTTTTTTTTATAGAATGGTGAATTCGAGGCGGGAAATTTGAATTTTGAAGAGTGAAGAGGGGTTAATTGGAAAGTTGGAATGTGGACGTTGATGGACTGAATGTAGAAAAGTTTGAATTTTACCACCGAAAATTTATAGCTTCTTCGGGAGTTTGTTTTTTGTAGAGTGCTGAATTCGAGGCGGGAAATTTGAATTTTGAAGAGCGGAGAGGGGTTAATTGGAAAGTTGGAATGTGGAAGTTGATGGACTGAATGCAGAGAATTTTGAACTTAACCATTGTAATTCGAGCTAAATAGAATTTGGAATTTCAGGAATTGGTTGTAGCGAATTTTGAATTCAAAATTTATTCACAGATTGGTGATTTCCAGGCGGGAAATTTGAAATTTGGGAATTGGAAAGTTGAAAAGTAGTAGAGAAGTGGAAACGTGGAAGTTAACAGGCTGGATATAGAGGATTTTGAATTTGACCAGTTGAATTTAGAATTTTATGGAAATTGTAAAGCAGCAAATATAGAAAATCCAAAATTAGCTATTTAAAGGCGCAGGCAGAAAATTAGGAGCACTGTGACTTCAAAACACAGAAACTTCTGAATTGAAGTTAAAAATTTGAAACCACGTATCTAAAAAATTAAAAAATTGAAACCATGAATTTAGAAAATTTAAAAATTGAAATTTGGAGAAATGCATATAAAGAATCCAGAGAATAAAGAATTCTGAAATATGAATTTGAAGTTCTAAAAAATCTCACATTCACTTTCGTCCAGTGTTTAATAATGAACTAACTTTTACCAGTCGACTATCATAAGAAATTCTATTTCCGTTAATCCTCTTAAACGATTATCCTTTTCCATTACTTCACACGTTGCATTCTATTTTTACCAGCGCTAAATTCAAAATAATCAGAGGCTTGCAGGAGAGTATTAGGAAAATTGAGTTAAGAATATCGCAAGTATTTGTGGTATATTGTTCCTACTGCATACTGAGGTTTCCGACGTGTTGCCTCTGCGAGTTACTGGCCTCTCGATGGCCAAGTAGTATATCAATACGTGTAGAAAATCACGTCGACCAGTGTGGAAATATTGGCGAAAGCCACCTCACGAGGATTGTTCACCGGATATCTTCGAATTGAAAAATTGACAAATATTTTCAGATATGTTAAGCACTGTTTCAACTTAACTCGAATGCTCTCTTTATCTGTGCTCCTCAAACACCGACTCTGTGCTGAGTTAATATTTGCTAATCCTAAACAGAGATACGATTAACGCAATATCTACTGCGAGAGTCCTAAGCAATTAGGAGGAAAATGGCGTGATTTGAACGAAACAGAGAATACTTGAAGCTGATTGTTTTAACAGAAGGAATAATTTCTTTTTAGCGATATTTGTTTATTCTCTGTAACTACAGAGTTGAAAATATGAAAAATTTTGTTCAACAACTTTGAAAAATTTGCTCAATTTTTGCTTCAATAGTTAAACTTAAGTGACGGAAAGTAAAAAATATTTCCGAACACTAAAGATAGTTTAAGAATCTTAGATAAGATTTATTGTTATCCAAAAATCCCAAATTGTATCTCAGAGATTCATTTGAAAATGATTAAATTACTAAATCGTTAAGAAATTTCACAAAAGAATGGATAAATTGAGATTACAAAATTGGAAAAAAATTGATTATACCTACTCATCGCCCCATGAGAACCAAATTGCCAAAAAACGTTCAAAAATTCATAAAAATCCAAAATTGTTACACGCAGAATAATTTCAAAAATACTGAGAAAATAAACCATGAAAAAATTTCGCAAAAAAGCAGACAAATTCAAAATGAAAAAATGTAAATTACTCCAATATAAATTCTATTCGTTGCCCCATGAAAAGCAAACTGCCAAGTCTTCAAAAATTCATGAAACTCCAAAATTGCAACCCAGAAATTAACTTCAAAATTACTAAATTGATGAACCGTGAAAAATTTTCACAAGAAAGCAGATAAATTCAAAATGAAAAAGACTAAATTGCTCCAATGTAAATTCTACTCATTGCCCGATGAAAACTAAATTGCAGCCAAATGTTGAAAGATTCATAAACGTGGCCGGGTATTGGTCGTTCGCATTTTAAACCGGGCTTAACCGCCCTTAAATACAGCGCACCATGGCGATGTTACAGCATTATAGAGTATTATATGCAGGGCAGCGTTATGGCTTCTACTTTTACAGTAGATTATTATTAACCTCCAGTTTATGGTTACGGCTTCGCGCGCTGTTTTCCATGGCGGACTATCCCCGTGCGTGTAACCACACGTAACAGGGATCATATTTCTGATCATCGTTTTATTCTCTCCGGAATGCACACGTATATACGAACAATCTGCCACTCTAACGCCATTGTCAGTGTAAAATTTCTTTAAACAACCAGGCGGGTAAGTTAGATTTAAACCCTCGATTAGGTGCACGCTTTTACCTGGATTTTATGGCTCTATCACGGCCATTCTGTTTCTTGGTTTATGGTCGTGAAAATTTTCTATGGACTCGTAAATGTTTTTATGGGAGTTTCCACTGGTTTTCGTTGAATTTTAAATTTTACGGGGTTTTTCAAAATTTCTTAGAAATTAATTTTTCATCTTTGCTGTAAATTGTGAACATTGATAATGGAGATTTTTAATTAAGATTTTCGTTGAATTTTAAATTTTATGAGGTTTCGGGTATTTTTTGTATTAAAAATTTTTTTAGAAATTAAGTTTCTATCTTCATTTGGCATAAATTGTGAATTGTTTGCTAATGAAGATTCTTAATTAAGGTTTTCGTTGAATCTTAAATTTTACGGGGTTTTTCAAAATTTCTTAGAAATTACCTTTTCTTGAAAAGAATTCAAAAATTTTTCATTCGTTATAGGAAAAAAGTAAATCCAGATAAACATTTTCTCAATGTTCACCATTTTTTTAAACAGTTAAACATTTTTTTTGCACTCAATTGACCAATGAAAAAATATAAATTGCACGGTGCAACTTTTGTAAGTGCAAAGTGTTTCAACACATGTTGTACAGGTTCCGGTACATTCACGAACTATTGTACAAATTGTTGCGTTACGAACTCTCGATTGCCCATCGATGCTATCGAACTGTATTCGTAAAGCAGAGAAGCACTATCGTGAATTCTTGATTGCACTTCTATCGTGGTGGAACGAGAATCAAACTGCGATTGGAAATGATTGAAAATGACATTTTTACACACACCAGAGGTTATCGTGTTTTCTGGCAACCTGTTGCATTCAAACACGTTTCGACGTTTAACTTCGACGTTTCGTTGCAATTTTCACTTTATTGTAACGTTTATTAATCGTATCAAATTTGACGAGCTGTTCCTTTACACACAGAATATTCTAATATTTCTCTTTGTTAGCTATAATTTCTGTAAAAGAAAAAATACTGTTCTGGTATTTCTGATATTTTACATAAAATTCAGTATTCTTAATTAATTTATTCTGCGAATCGAATGTTGAGGTGTAAACCTTTATTGAGAATCTTGCAAGGATAAAGATACATGTTCAATTTTATATTGAACTTCTTAAGATTTGCATAAAATTCATTTTTCTGTGTTTATTATCTTCTTCTGTTTAAATAATTTACACTTAATATTGAAAAATATATTTAAAATTTTCGCCAATTGGAAACAAGACTTTTTATAAATAACAAAGCTACGTTAAAGTAATCTAAAATTGAAAAATACGCCTGCAAATATTATCGTCACAATTTTTGTTCAAAAATCGCTTACTATACTTTGAACACGAGAAGAAAATTCCAATTAAAAATCGTCGTGCATTGGAAACAAGTCTTAATTTTTCACAAATGAAAAAGAGCTGCATTAAAATAATCGAAAATCGAAAAATACGCCTGCAAACATCGTCACAATTTTCGTCCAAAAATCGCTTACTATACCAAGAGAAAAAAATTCTAATTTAGAATCGTCGCCAATTGAAAGCAAGCCTTAATTTTTCACAAATGAAAAAGAGCTGCATTAAAATAATCGAAAATCGAAAAATACGCCTGCAAACATTATCGTCACAATTTTCGTCCAAAAATCGCTTACTATACCAAGAGAAAAAAATTCTAATTTAGAATCGTCGCCAATTGAAAGCAAGCCTTAATTTTTCACAAATGAAAAAGAGCTGCGTTAAAATAATCGAAAATCGAAAAATACGCCTGCAAACATCGTCACAATTTTCGTCCAAAAATCGCTTACTATACCAAGAGAAAAAAATTCTAATTTAGAATCGTCGCCAATTGAAAGCAAGCCTTAATTTTTCACAAATGAAAAAGAGCTGCGTTAAAATAATCGAAAATCGAAAAATACGCCTGCAAACATCGTCACAATTTTCGTCCAAAAATCGCTTACTATACCAAGAGAAAAAAATTCTAATTTAGAATCGTCGCCAATTGAAAGCAAGCCTTAATTTTTCACAAATGAAAAAGATCTGCGTTAAAATAATCTAAAATCTAAAATCGGACAGAAATTTCTCTGTCGAAAATACTTGTCCAAGAATCGTTTACTATACTCCGGAAAAGGATAAAAGAATTGGAATTTCTACACAAAATTTTCCACTTCCGTTTGTTTGGATCACCGCCAATCTTATTGTTTGTCGTTTTACTACCATGTGTCTACTTAAGAAGGCGATTCGGATATTTGCTCGCATTCTCGGCCGATTGTCTTCCTCGATGAGTCATTCGCGTGGTACTCGTCGACCGGTTCAGAACGACAGACGAACTTGTTCGAGGGACAACAATATGGACGTCGAGCTAAGACTCTGGAAGAATTTGCAATTGAACTTCACCAAGTGCAAAGTGAACCCAAAAACGTGGAAATACTTCGCGGTTGGTCCTTTAATTACATTTCATTCCATTCAATTCTCTTCATTTTTCTTCAACCACGTGCTCCATCGATCGGTTTCTCAGTGGTTTATTAATCATTTTAACAATGTAAATTGAAGTGTTCTTTTTCGAAGCGCGAAAACAGTGAAATTTTCAATTTTTCTTGTAAGAATTGTCTGCCTCGAAAATTTATCGAAATAAAGAAATGGGAATGAATTTTAAAGATTTTTTTAGAAAGTGCAATTTGAGGAATTCGAAGAAAGTGAAACCGACGATTTTTGTTCCCTTTTTCGATGAAAGAATTGTTTCAACGAACGAGATATTTTGATAAAAAGATTGCAGTTTGTATTAGGAAGTAGTTCTTCCATTTTGATTCTCAGAAAAATTAGGATTTTTAACGAGGTTCTCTTCGAGTCAAATTTATTACCTCGTTAACGTGATTTGTTGCTCCTGCGTCGATAAGGCAAGCTTATCTTAAAAGTGTAGAAATCCGAGATCAATCGAAAATCGTCAATTTTTACCAAAAATTCGCTGTCTGACGAAAAACTGAAAAAATTATTCTACGAATTTTGTTTTTTTTTTCCTTCCTTCAAAATGTTAACAACTTTGGTGTAATTGTGTCAAATAGTGAAGAATACAATTGCATAATATAGATAAGCGAAGGAAAACGATAAAAGCTGTCGCAGACTGAACGTTACTTATTTGCATAGCAGATGGAAAATTATTGAACTGTTTAAGATAAGCCTGATACAGCTTGTCCTGAATAATTTTCTCGGTGATCGAATAATATTACTGTTAATTATTCCACAATTAAACAAGTGTTCAGTTTGTTATTTAAAATGACCGAGAGAAAATTTTCAACTTTGTCGAGAATCGAGAACAAAATTAAGACTTAAATTGAGTATCGAGAAATAATCAACACTGAAATTCCTCAAACAAATAATTCGAAGCTTCTTCGCTGTTGTAAAAATTCGCATAGATACTTCTAAGTGGGGACTAAAGAAAGCTTGTTGATTTAAAAGAAAAAACATTCAAATAGTCAAGTGATTTGTGATTAATTTAGTTAAAAATTCTTCTTCTGTTCGCACAGTCGTCTCAGAACAACGCGTCGAATGCCGGAGTAGGCGAGAAACGAGAGCACTTGTATAAAATTCTGGTGATTGGCGAGCTGGGCGCCGGAAAGACATCAATCATCAAGAGATACGTTCATCAGTTCTTCTCTCAGCATTATCGCGCGACAATTGGCGTTGACTTCGCGCTCAAAGTGTTGAACTGGGACCCGCACACGATCATAAGGCTGCAGCTATGGGATATCGCAGGTCGGTCGTCTTTTAATCTTCTTTTCCTTCTGATCTCTATTTGAAAATATTTTTTCGCGAATTACTTCGAAATTTTTAAGTTCGTCGATCATTTATGGAATATTTAATATTTATTTCTTCTCATCTTTCCTCTTTTTCTATTAAAAACATCCTTTTCCGTTTTTTTTTTTTTATTTGTTCGCTACGATTCAAGAATTATTTTTGAAATTTTTAAGTTCGTCGATCATTTATGGAATATTTCATATTTATTTCTTCTCATTTTTTCTCTTTTTTTTTATTGAAAAAATTCTTTTCCCTTTTTTCCA